AAAAATAAATACCTAGTTTTTAAAAATTCGTTTTTCATTGTTATTTTCGTTAATAATACACTGTTACCACTTGATATTTATAAAATTAACAAAATTACTGACCTTGCGCCATAAAGGGTTAAATATGTACGCAATCGCTTTGACAATGTTATGCCATGCAAGGTGTCTAGACTTAATTGAGCATGGATGGAGCTCCCGGAGATTTGTTTTTTCATCAATGGGAATCAACTACGCTACGCTGACAATTTCTAGAAATAACTTTTTTTCAACTCCTCACATTTGCTGTTGCGCTACTTTATTAATATTTTTTATTTTATAAATTTTTCTTATTTTTTTTAGTTTTACTTGTTTTTCTATTTTTATTTTTATACTAACTTGTTGCTTTATAGATACCTTATTTGTATATTTTTTCCGTAGCGCGTACAACACCGGTAGATAATTTTCTGCACAATCGGTTACGCTGCTGTTGCTGCTGTTGTTGTTGTTGTTGTTGCTGCTGCTGTGGTTTGTTTTGTTTTTGTTGTTTATTATGTGAGCAAATTTCGTTGTTGCTGGCTGTTATTAATTGTATGTAGCTGCTGAAAATTTTAATTCTTTTTATTTTATTATTTTTGTTTTCAACTACACTTGTTGTATGATTCAGTATGAATTTTAAGCGTAGCTATCCAGTTGCCAGATGTTGTTTTGCACGGTGTTACTTTTATCAAATTTATTTGCAACTAAAATTTTTGAATATTTCAGTTAATGTAAATATCCCGCACGCCTAATTTGTATACAAAAACAAATAAATATTAAAAAAAAAATTATACGAAAAAAAATATTTAAAAAAATATCTAAAAAAATTATAATAAAAAAATGTTAAAATAAAAATAAAATAATTTGATAGAAGCTTTTTTTGAGCACTCGGAAAAAAAATTTCTCGAATCATAAATATGTACACTGGCTAGCACATTCACTCCCCGATCTTTGGCGGTAAAAGCAGATGCTATGATTTCTTTGCCTTTTCAATTTTTGTACTATTTCTCTTGTTCTTCCACTATTTCACTAGTACTTTTCACTTGGTTATGGATATATCTCTAACAAATCCACTCACTCATTTACTCTCAAGCAGCACGATCAACACTCGATCACTCGCAATTAGTTAAAACAGCGTCAACGGACGTCTCTCAAACTGACCGGAACACCAGAAAATTTAGCAAGCCAGCCAACCAACCGACAGATACAAAGTTAAATCAGATACTAATTCGTAATTTGTTTCAGACTTTTCGCTTTTAGTTAGCCAGCAGCTTGTTTGTGTATCAACCCAAGGCGCATCAATTACAGGTGATATCGATAGAAGCTATGCTTCTTCTTATGAGCACGCTTGTGTCAAATTATCGTCTGTTTTGCTTTCTTTACATATCCGCGTATACATACACATATACGTAAATATATACCCTGCAAACAAATGCTACCGAAATCTTTAAGAGTATCGGAAATTTGTTACGATTCTCTTAGGAATCTTTAAAGAAAAACATATGAAGCGGTTGACAAGAACTAGTAAAGAAATTTCTGTACGATTTCTTAGAGAAAATTCTTAAAAAAATTGTGAAACCTTTCAGATTTCTGTGAAATCCTGGTATGCAGGGTATACATATACATACGAATACGAATACATAAAGAAGATGTTGATGACACAAGGAGTTCATACCAACGGTAAATGTTGTTTTTGTACGATTGCTACAACCTGTAGTTATTGAATCATGGTATCAACCCAAGAATGATAGAATACAAGATTGCGCCAATCGAGCTGAGAGCAACTGGCCGTGACGTCAACAAATACTAGAATGAGAGAGCAAGACGAACTCGACAAGAAAAAGAGGAAGCATCGACCAAAAGGCAGTGTTGCCAAGTTTTGACTTTGAAAAATCACCAAATTTTTATTGGTGTATTTTATGGACTATGTATGAATACATAATTTTATTGTAAGGATGCCGATTCAAAAATCAATGTTTCTTGCACAACGGTCGATTTCTTCTGGCATGATTGAAGGTGCTGCCACATATTTCTTTGTCACTTATGATTGTCACTGTGCCATGATTTTGTTTAAATTCTTGTAAAATTGCTTACCACACTTACGATTGCTATACATTTTTCTTCAATTTTTTTAAGATTTTCTAATTTGGTGTCTTCAAACTAAAAACAAAAGCACCAAAAACGCACTAAGCACAAAAGTCAAAAATTTTCGCGTTTTGAATACCCACTAAATTTGGTGCGAAAAGCATGAAGTTGGCAACAGTGAATGTAAACAAAAGTATTTGATGACGTCAGCGATTGGGTGGATGCTGTCAAATCGACGAAGAGAGGGTTAGCGGTCCGCGAATGGCGCGACCTTTATTTTCTGGATCGTGGGTCAGAGGGATATCTCAAAAACCATTGCAGAGAAATTGGGAAGGACTGGAGCGGCCCTATCCTCAATAACTTTTTCGAAGCAGTTATATCGCTCAGATCGCCGCAGATTGCTGGAAAAAAATATAGTCACGGCATCGCTATTAGCCCCAAAAACCACCTGGGTGTCAGTGCTGTTACCAATGACTTTCTACTGCCCCAGTTGTAAGGACTACAAGCAGTATATGTACACTTCTTCGAGTGTTTGTCGGGCTTGAAGCGAATATCTTCAAGAGGGTCTATATATAATGGCAGCGGATCTGGGTTATCCTGCAACATAAGTACTATTTCTGCCAACGCGAGTTGGACTCTCTGTCCTTTGTGTCTGCGGGTCATGTCTTCTTTATTGATATTTGACCATTATTCCTACCATCTTCTGATCTTTTGCCACCACAGCAGACCATCGATTCCAAATTTCAAATCTATTATCCATTTTCAGTGCTGCCACTTGCGAAAACACAATTATTTACTTCATCCATAAAATACATCTGTGTACCTTCATGAATTGATCCTGATGCTCACTTAGAGTTGGTAATCAATTGTTCGCTGGATGATAAGCTTCCTGGGAGCATAGGGTGCTCAGTTTAAGAGGTAGGAGTTCTAAAGCATTATATAAAGCGTTACTTAGTATCGCTGCGGACCTTTTCTAAAGGGATGTTGTTGATACTGGTCGTCTTTTTGAGATCCATTTTTAGCGAGAGAACATAGCTACTCTAGTTGCCCCGTATTTGAAGCACCTCGCCCACGCTTGGGCTTTACGAAAAGCCTTAACTTGGTATGGATTTTACACCACCCTGATATGGTTCTGAAAGTCAATCACATCTTACTTAGCGCACCTTGATTTTGGCAGCGTTTCTCTCTGAGATGGTTGTGTAAGGTAATTTTGATTAAAAAAAATAGAAAATTTCCCTTTTAAAATTGCATCCTCTATTAAGATATTTAACAATGGAAAGCGTAAATTTATTAAGAGATAAGTAGAAAGTAGAAGCGAAAAGCTCAACTTACGAAGCCAGATATGGTGTCACTACTTTGGCAATTTTCTACCACAAAAAAGGAGCGTTATAAAAATTTATCAAACTAATTTAATGCATTAAAAGGTTAACTACGAATAACGGAGCGTAATTGTTTTCCCTATGTTTAGACAGTTGAATATAACCTCACTTTTGTGTGCGCGGAACTCAACTGCAACAAGAAAAACGAATGAAAAACACAAGTTGTCCATGTAAAATAAAATATATTTTCTTAATTTACACATCTTCTTCTGTGTCAATCATTAATTACTTTGCCGCTACCGAACTGTTTTCGTACAATTTTCCATATATTTCTTTGCGAAATAAAATTTAAAATAAGTGACTTGGAGTCGTTTTTTTCGATATAGGTTTATTTTTTATTCAACTCCTTCATAATTAATGCAGTAAAGAGAAGATAAGAATAGCTCGGCTATGAGTTTGAAAAAAAAA